GCCATAGACATGAACGTCCAGGAGTTGTTAGTGATTGGTGATTCAGACTTGCTCATACATCAGGTACAATGAGAGTGGTCAACCAAGAATTCCAAGATACTGTCGTATCTGCACCACGTGCAGGAATTGAGAAAGAGGTTTACAAAAATGAAATTTCGGCACATCCCCAGGATCCAAAATGAGTTCGTCGATGCATTGGCCACTCTGTCATCCATGATTCAGTACCCAAACAAGAATTTCATTGATCCTATTCCAGTGAAGGTCCATAGCCAGCCAGCCTACTGTGCCCATGTCAAAAAAGAAGCAGACGGAAAGCCTTGGTTTCATGATATCAAGGAATATTTGGCAAAGGGAGAGTACCCATAACTTGCAAATCATACTCAGAAACGCACGCTCCGAAGATTGTCCAACAACTTCTTTCACAGCGGAGGAATCCTGTACAGGAGGACTCCCAATCTGGGGTTACTGGGATGTGTCAAGGCAAAGGAAGCTTCCAAATTACTTGAAGAGATACATGCTGGGACCTGTGGCCCACATATGAATGGTTTTGTCTTAGCAAAGAAGATACTCAGGGTTGGTTATTTTTGGATGACTATGGAAACAGACTGCATCCAGTATGTACGGAAATGCTACCGATGTTAAGTACACGCAGACATGATAAAGGTACCCCCAAATGAGCTCACTCCCGCTTCTGAACTAGCGCGAACGCGCTAGACCTCGCGCTAGACTTCGCGCTAGTTCAGGCCATTTTTCTTCAATTCTTTGTCTAGTCTTTGCGCGCACTCAGCTCCGAGGGGTCTTTCTTGTTCCAATGCAACTCCAATCACAACTTTAAGGCATCATATAGGCTCACCATCCTGCAATGTGTAAAATTCACAATTAGAGCCCATTTTTCATCATTTAACCATATTATGACATTGAAACATAATCAAACGGGAGCATAAACAATCGCCAAATCACCTAGACTTAGCCTATTATCAACACCCCACACTTAATTCATTGCTCGTCCTCGAGCAATCAAACTATACTCTCTAGAGGTTCCACTCAACAATTTCCCTTAACGCATTACACCCAGAACAATTCACATATGCTAGGCCTAGTAGTGAACAATCTCAGCCTCAAAGGTCGAGTCTCAAGTGCCACGCAATATTCACACTTTCTCAAATTACTCTACACAGAAGCCAAGACTTGCTTTTCCTTCAAGAGTCACATGCCCTCACAATCACAACTAAGAAAATAAAATCAATTCATACATTCGAATTTCATGCTCACATATATCAAAGAAAATCGCTCACACTCACAAAAGAAGTCACATGCATGCAATTGGTACCATAAGCTTGCCCCTAATGTAAATCTCTACTAATGTAGGCTCACTCGATCTAAAATCAATTAGGACTTTTTCATGGTTGTAATGTGGGCTAAGGGACGGGTAGGATATATTTAGGAATAGTGACTAACCCTCCTAAGCACTTTAACATACCACATAATCAACTTCAAGCGCACATTCTTCAATCCACTTCAATTTCACAAACAAGATCACCCCAAAATGCTCCCTTCTTCTTTAAGCACTACATTAATTCATACCCACTAGCAAGAACAAGACAACAATTTATTCATCTCTATTTTTTTTCTTCAGATTATTCCTTTTTTTTCAATTTTTTGCTAGTGGTGTATTATTTTACAAAACAAGTGCACCTTTCTTCCTTTTATTGGTTCCACTCAAAAGCCACCCCACACTTAGTTCCTTCTTACTTCTTTTAGCGCTCATCTCACGATTAAAGTGCTTTAAGAGGAAAAGGGATCAAAACAATGTCAATTAAGAACAAAAAAGGTATAGGCTTGTAATGTGGGTGCCAAATAAAAGTCTATAGGCTCAAAAGGGTTAACTAGGGATAGATTTCATTTGTGATAAGCAATCAAGCTCAAAAAGATCAAAGAAAGCCTAAAATTATTTTTCAAATCGAGCATCACCTAAAATTTCGCTTCGACTCACATACCGGGCAAGTTCTAGACACAAATGCAACACATGGACTACACCAAAAACCTCACCACACATGGCATATGACTCATTCCAGATCAACTCATCGAGACACTCCATTATGAGCATTCAAGTCAGTGACAAACATACAAATTAAGGCACTTCAGTGAAATTCAACCAATAAGACTAAGAGTTACACTCTAGTGTCTGTTGTGTTCAGGTGTGTCAACGCTATAGGTTCTCTTTTGATTCTCTAACTCGTAGCCCATTAAACCTAATCTACAAATCAAAAAGAAAATAAAATAACAAAAAAAACTACCTATACCCGGTTCAAGTTTAAACCCTTGGAAAAGAACCGTGGCCCAAAGAAAAACCAAGGGGGAGTTACTACACTACCTAAAAATAAAAAAATAAAAATCTTTTTGGTATTTTTCTAGACTAACTTCCCTCAAGAAAATTGTCCAAAGGATCCGTCATCAGGAAGAGTCTTCATATTTCCATTTTTTTTCTTTTTTGATTGATCGACTTAGTCCCTCACGAACCCCGCCGAAAGAGATCCGTCGTCGGGACAAGCCACTTACCTAGTTTAAACTAATGAACTAACTAATGAACTCTTACTAAATTACTAAAACTGTCAAAACCAAACAAAATAAAACTAAACAACTACATATATACACTGAAGTATCCCCCACCCCACACTTAAAATGAAGACATGTCCCCATGGCTTATGAATTGAAGTAATAGTGAGGTAAAGGAACTTCCCTGAATGCTCACTCCTGGTCGGAGACAGTGTCGGGGTTCACATGGCATGCACGCCCCAAAGCTCTCAGCCAGCCCAAAAACTTCTTCTCAGACTTCGCCTGCTGGGCAGCCACTGCGTCCACACGAGTACCCAACTCAGTCACGGAGGAGGGCAACCCAGCCACATCCTGCTCCAACGCTGCAAAACGGGACATTCTAACAGTTCCTAAAGATGAGGCTGCTCCGGACAATGCTGCAGCTGCTGCGCTGTGCTCATGGGCATGTGTTTCGCCCTCCACATTCATCTGATCGGCCACCCCTTCCTCCGAGTCATCAGAGCCACTCTCATCCACTCCACCTGATGTTGCTGGCACTGTTGCCGTGGTGCCTTTGTCAAGTCGGACCTTGAGACCATTTCGTACTAGCCCATCCACTCGGAGATTCTCGAGCACCCGAGCTTGCCTGCAAAGCTGAGTCACTAGAGAGGGGAAAAAGAACCCATACCTTCTCACTGGGCAGCGAACGAACATCTCGTCGTGCATTACTTTGGCTATATCGAAGTCAAGACCCTTCATGAAACACCAAATCAAGGCGGCTCGGGGTGCATTTACCTCCGTGGTGTTTTTGGACGGAATGAGACGGCTGTTAACCACATACAACGAGCTCTTCGCCTCAGGGGATAAAACTGAGGAGTGAAACTTCTCACCGTATTGCATCCATTCCACCTCTTTTCCGGGTGCGCAAATTGCATCGAAGAATCTCTCCCACTTCGCGTCAGTTGGGTGCCGTCCATACTCATAGAAGTCATCATGCTCAGGCACGGGAGGGGGCAAATGGTATGCCATCCGTATCGCCTCAACAGATGCATTTACCGCCTTGCGGCGCACCGTGACCACACTATTGTCATGCTCAGGCAGATTAACGTAAAACTCTCGCACAACCATTGCATTGGCCTCCCCTGGCTCGTTTATGAAGGTCTGCAGCCCCCGCCTTAACAACTCCGTGTACATGTGAGGGCATTTATGCTGGAGTGAATTCATATCAATCCCCCTCTCCGGAATCGGCTGTTTAGTGGCCTTCTCCGTAAAGCGGCCTTGAGCCGCGGCTGAGACAAATTTGCTACTGTCAAAGGGGCGTGCAGGGGCTGCCCCTTGTGTCCTATGTGCTCCAGCTTGGCTACTAGTGGATGGACCTGTGGCTTGGCGTTTTCGGGATGGTGCCATGACACCTGAAAATTGGGACACATTAGCACAGCTCAAATAAAATTGTGACGCACTGCGGTTACTCAGACTTCACCTGCGTGAGTGGTCACAACTACATAGTAATGGTCATTAAGGCCTTTCCACAAACACCTTGTGGGCATTAGGCCTTCACAACCCTTTTTGATTATTCTAGAACATGAATCCACCCCAAAATCTCAACAATAGCACAAATCAAGTACCACCCACCCCACACTTATCACCCACCAACACCACAACATAGTCTTCCAATTCCTCCACATAAAAAAAACAAAGAACAACTACTACACAACACATTGGAATACAACCAAAAATCTAAAAAGAAAAAAAACATTAAGAAGAGAAAAAGAGAAGAGATTGCACTAGGGCTCATACCTGTGGTGTGGATGGTGGTGAGTAGAGAGAAGACGTGTGTGTGAGCCTGGTGGGAGGGATGAACTCGTGTGATTGGGGGAGGAAAGAGGGAATAGTGAGAGTTGGGAGATGGGGGAATAGTGAGAGTTGGGAGGAAGAAGGAATCGTGGGGAGGGTTTGTATATTGGGGGGATTTAAGTTAGGCTAAAGATGTAAAAGGAAAAATAAAAAAATAAAAAAAAACTTTAAAAACGACCCCAATCCAGTGATTTCTGGGGCGGGACTAGCGCGAACACTAGCGCGATCGCGCTAGCTTCGCGCTAGTCCGGGCAGAATGTTCAGCTTTTAGCGCGAACTTCGCGCTACTTCGCGCTAGTTTATGCAGCTTAGACAGAATGTTGCCCAGTTGCACGAACTATAGCGCGAAGTTAGCGCGAAGTGCGCGCTACTGGGCAACACGTTTTTGCACTTTTTCACCTGTATTTACCCTGGTCGATGGTCTTTTCGCCTGCCCTTTGTCACCTGCATTGGTTAGCATGCTACAAAACATACAAATAACACTACAACTATTGTTGGGTTTCCTTCCAACCAGCGCCTTAGTTATTGTCGGGCACGACAGTTACAACAGTTCAATGGGTTGCCTCCCATCCAGCGCCTGATATAATGTCGCGGCACGACTCAACACGTTGTCAAGCATCTGACAAGTCCATCGAGGCCTTGTGACGTGCAACGTCACCACCCCAATAATGATTTATCCGCTGGCCATTGACCAAGAAGGTACCATTGGAGCTCATATCCCGCAACTCCACAGCTCCATGAGGCTTCACACTTACCACAACGAAAGAGCCTGACCAACGAGACTTAAGCTTTCCAAGAAAGAGCTTCAATCTCGAATTGAATAACACCACTTCTTGCCCTGGCTCAAACTCTCGATGTTGGATGCGTTTGTCATACCACCTCTTAGTCTTCTCTTTATACAATTTGGCATTTTCATAGGCGTGCAATTGAAACTCATCATGCTCGTCAAGTTGTAGCAACCTCTTCTCCCTAGCTAACTCCATATCCATGTTCAGCTTTTCAATTGCCCAATAGGCTTTGTGTTCAAGCTCGACGGGCAAGTGACATGCCTTCCCATAAACTAATTTATACGGAGAAGTACCTATGGGAGTTTTGTATGCAGTTCGATATGCCCATAATGCGTCGTCGAGCTTTCCAGCCCAATCTTTTCTATTTCCATTCACTGTTTTCTCCAAAATCTGCTTCACCTCTCTGTTTGACACTTCCACTTGACCACTCGTTTGGGGATGATAGGCCGTGGCAACCTTGTGCTTGACTCCATATTTTGCAAGGTTATTATTCAGCAATTTGTTGCAGAAGTGCGATCCTCTGTCACTTATCAACACTCGTGGAGTTCTAAAACGTGTGAAAATGTGCTTCTTTACAAAACTCACCTCTACCTTCGCATCATTAGTGGGAAGAGCAATGGCCTCCACCCACTTAGACACATAATCAACTGCCACCAAGATGTACATGTGCCCATTAGAGTATGGGAATGGTCCCATGAAGTCGATTCCCCACACATCAAATAGCTCTACTGCCAGAATATTTTGCAAAGGCATCTCATGCCTCTTGGTCATTTTTTCGGTTCTTTGGCATCTATCACACATTTTAACAAAGGCATGTGCTTCCTTAAACAATTTGGGCCAATAGAAACCTGATTGTAGAACTTTCTGGGCGGTTCTATCTCCCCCGTGATGTCCTCCGTATGGTGACGTGTGACAGTCATGCAATATTGCATTCGTCTCTTCTTCTGGAACACATCTTTCGTTCCACATATAAAACCTCACATCATGTAGGAACCTTCTTCTATTATCAGGTGTCAATTTCGGTGGTGTCACCCCACTTGCAATAAAATTCACATAATCTGCATACCACGGGCTTCATTTGAGGTGATTGCCAATAACTGCTCATCAGGAAATGTTTCCTTGATGGACCCACCTTCAGCTACATGGCTCCGATTTTCTAACCTGAACAAGTGATCAGCCACTTGGTTCTTTGTTCCTTTTCGATCTCGGATTTCTAAGTCAAACTCTTGCAAGAGAAGGACCCAACGAATCAGTCTCGACTTGGCGTCTTTCTTCTCAAACAAGTATCTGATAGCTGAATGATCTGTGTAGACGATGTCTTTGGTCCCCACTAAATATGATCTGAACTTGTCAAATGCCCACACCACTGCAAGCAACTCTTTTTCAGTAACTGTGTAATTCATCTGGGCTGGATTCAGAGTTTTGCTCGCATAGTAGATGGAGTGAAAGATTTTATTTCTTCTCTGCCCCAAAAACAGCTCCAATAGCTATGTCACTCGCATCACACATCAACTCAAAGGGTTGCTCCCAATCCGGGGCAATGATAATTGGTGCAGTCACTAGCCTTCCCTTCAGCTCCTCAAATGCTTTCAGACAGGCATCATTTTGAAGGAGACATCTTTCTCAAGCAACCTGCACAAGGGAGAGGAAATTTTCGAAAAATCTTTAATGAAACGATGATAAAAACCTGCATGGCCCAAGAAACTGCGAAGGCCTTTGACGGACGTTGGTAGGGGAAATTTTTCAATTGCTTCCACCTTTGCTTTGTCCACCTGCAAACCATTTTTAGACACCTTGTGCCCCAAAACTATACCTTCACGTACCATGAAATGGCACTTTTCCCAGTTTAGTACTAAGTTAGTTTCTTCATACCTAGCAAGCACTTTATCAAGATTCATCAAGCAGTTATCAAAAGAACATCCAAATACAGAAAAATCATCCATGAATACTTCCACAAAGCTCTCAACCATGTCAGTAAAAATGGCCATCATACACCTTTGAAAAGTCGCAGGTGCATTACAAAGACCAAAGGGCATTCTCTTGAATGCATACGTGCCATAGGGGCACGTAAATGTGGTCTTCTCTTGGTCCTCTGGGGCTATAGCAATCTGATTATACCCCGAGTAACCATCCAAGAAGCAGTAGTACTCCTGGACAGCTAATCTATCAAGCATTTGGTCAATAAAGGGGAGAGTGAAGTGGTCCTTTCGGGTGGCATTGTTCAATTTACTATAATCGATGTAAATTCTCCACCTAGTGACAGTTCTTGTGGGGATCAAATCATTATTTTCATTAACCACCACAGTCACCCCCCCTTTCTTGGGTACACATTGAACAGGCTTACCCATTTGCTGTCTGAGATAGGAAACACAATACCTGCATCAAGCCACTTAATCACTTCTTTTCTTACCACCTCTTTCATGATTGGATTTAGTCGGCATTGTTGCTCTACACTGGGCTTATGTCCATCGTCCATGAGGATTTTATGCATGCAAAAGGCTGGACTAATGCCCTTAATGTCAGACATCATCCACCCAAGTGCTCACTTATGCTCACATGGCACTCTTAACAGCTTCTCTTCCTGCAATTTAGACAAGTCAGAAGAAACACTAACAGGTAAAGTGTCAGAGTCACCCAAATAAGCATATTAAAGGTGAGGTGGGAGAGTTTTAAGCTCCAATTTTGGGGCTACCTCAATGGACGGCTTTGGAGAAGGTCCTTCTGGCCTATTCAAAGGCTCAAAGGGGTGTATCCCTTGCATGTACTCACAAGATGTATCTAAGATGTGCATCATATCCTCAACCTCATCATCACTTCCCAAGCTATCAAACAACATAAGTGCTTTCTCTAGAGAGTCGTCTAGATATACACTCGTGTCAAGACTTTGCTCATCAGTCTCAACAACAGATATCATTGAGACCTCCTCATAGTGGCGGGGGAGTTAGATTGCTTTGTACACATTAAAGACTGCTTCCTCATCATCCACCCTCAAAATCATTTTCAACTCTCTCACTTTAATAATTGCATCACCAGTAGCCAAGAGAGGTCGCCCCAATATGATTAGGACCAGTTCGTCAGCCTCATAATCCAGGATAATGAAGTCAGCTGGGAAGATATATTTTCTAATTTGCAGCAACACGTCTTAAATCATACCCTCGGGGTGTACTATAGATCTATCAGCCAGCTGCAACATCACAGTAGTTGGCCTTGGAGCTCCCAGGCCCAATTGATTGAACAAAGATAAGGGCATCAGATTTATACTCGCCCCCAAAATCGCAAAGAGCACGACCCACATCAATATTACCAATGCGCACCGGAATGGTGAAACTGCCAGGATCCTTAAGCTTTTG